TGGGTTTTAAATTCAGCGCATTTTCCATTCAGCGAAATAAGCAAAATTAAAACCCATTGAATAGTAACCCCTTTACAGTATCTAAATCTTTCATTGATTATAATTGACACTCACTAAAAACTAAACATATACTGTCATTGACAATGACTTGTGCTATATTTTAAGGTCCGTGAAGTCGCTCAGACGGTATCAGGTGGATGGAACCTTCATTGGCAATCACCAGCAATTATGGCATTACAAGAGGTAAGCACATAATCTTTTGTTTGAGGTCTTCTACAAAGTAAGTCTCATTCTGTGCTTCCATGTATTGTACAAATAAATTACGATATTAGAAACCGCATCCTTAATAGAAGTTGTACCCATTCTTTTTGAAAAACCAAGAACCAAAAATTCACCATTTTTCGTATGTGTAGTTTACATATACAAATTTTACAGTGCCATTTTGAAAAAAGAAACGATCATCTTGTCGTTAGGGACAACCAAATATTGGAATTTTTAAAACGGGAGAGTCGTCACCTGCGCATGCACGGGAATTGAGTCCCAAGCGTCGAAAACGCATGCTAAAACGCAATGGCTCATTGGTAGACGCTTGTTTGTAAACACTGACACGCTATGACCATCTGATGCATGTGCAGGTGACTATCAGTTGTGAATACGCAAATTTTATTTTGTAGACCTTAATGACCTCTGACCCTTTGAATGTCAAAGTCAAATTGTGTCTCCATTTACAACATAAATCTGCATAATTTTTTTCAAAAGTATTAATCAAGATCTGTTGCCAATAAGCAAATTACACGTTTTCCGCCTTCAAATTTCACAAATAAATCACATATTTTTGGTATACTGTGGAATACTTTATTTTCGCTAGAATTAATTTTCGCTGAAAAGGCTTTTTGGGCATTTTTATGGAACTTGTTTTCACTGATTTTTGATGAATTTAATGTGAAATATAGGAAAAAAAGTATATTCGCTGGATTTTATTTTCACGGAATCATCCATTCAGCGAAAATAAATTCCAAGCAAAAATAAAGTATTCTACAGTATGTCATTGTGCATGTCTATTCTTTTCATAATTTCATTCAAAATGGCCAACTTGTATATTATAAAATTTCGATCACCTTTATTATCTTGAGAATTTTGGTAATTTATTGGCTTCTAACATTTCAACCAAACTATTACATACCAACCCAACCCTGCATGCATCTACAAACCATCCATGCACAACCCTCACCACGCCTGCCTCTCCACAAATCAACCCAAATCTGCATTAAAATCCTATTATAAACCGCGGTTTATATTGCAATGTATCAAATAAAAAATTGGGATCAACAGCTCAAGTTCGGGGTGCGGTTTATATTAGGGACATATTGCAATCACTAAATGGGCATGGTCATTTTTTCCCCACATCACTCGCACAAAACAAACAATACACCATACAATCTTTTGAATATAAGCGTAACTCCAATTTAGATGTCAGGGAAGAGTGATAAGCCTCACGTCACAAAAAAAAACTGTTCACATAAAAAAAATACTTGGTATATTTAAAGGGGAACTAAATAGAGCCTATTTTGGTGTTTGTATTTATCAAGTTATGTATATTGATTATAAATTTGAAAAAAAAAATTAAACAAAATGATTATCTTCAGAGTTATGATGATTTAAATATGAGAAACCATAAACCTGCGAAGGACTTCCGTTTGCGCCATCTTGCCATAAAAAAACGCCCTCATGAGGTATAAACAGGTAAGGTAACAAAGCATGATGACGAAATAGTATCTGATTAAATATAAGCAACTTAGGGAGCCATAGCTGGCTGGACTGGTGAATTGACTTCTAGTCTGTTGTTTCGACTTTTACGTTAATGTTATTTACAAGCATATCAACATACAAACATTATGGATGTGCGATTGATCGAGACAGGCATTTTGTTTTGTTTTTTGTCTGTCTAATAAATGCTGTTTCCAGTACTGCACTGTGTGGCGTGCAAATTATTCAAAGTATGGATGCTGGAGTATGCAATCTTGAGTTCGTAGGGTGGTGGTGGAAACATTTTCGTCCATGTATTCACGGGGCTGCACTGGCAAATCATGGGACAAGTGTCACAGGAACACCAAGCAGATTGTTCACAGACTTCCGTGTAATTTGAAATAAAACTTTCATCCGAACAAAGGGCATCGTCGACGATATACTCTCATCACTCA